AGTTCTCAGGAACTACTGTGGGAAAAGTACTTGGTGTGAACGCGCCTAATGTTGCCTAAAGCACAAATGTTTTGAATACATTTTTTATTTCTGTCGTTTTATTCTTTGATTTTCTCTTTATGGTCATAAAACTATGTATTGTTTGAAATCACCTCAGCATACATGTTTGTCCTGTAAAATAAGATGGATAATACTTGGTTGTGCATTACAGGGTTGAGGTTGTACAAGCATTTTCACACAAGGAGAAAAAAAGGGTTTAGACCTGCTTGTGTAAATGCAGATGCACAGCAAGAGATGAAGAGAAGTTTGTGAAATTAAGTGAAAATCAATGTGCTTTTGATTGGAAAAAATGCCCACAGTGGCTGTTCACAAAGAAGTTACAAAACGCCTTTTCAATGAAGCCTTGTCAACTGTTTTGTGAGCAAAGTAATTATCATTTACACTAAGAAGTACTGCATACATTTACTTCCTACTGTATCCGTCTTATTAAAATATAAGATAGCCAGTGTTAAACTAACTGGCAATAACATCCAAACATTGTGTTAAACAGAACACACTACACACACACACACACACACACACACACACACACACACACACACACACACACACACACACTACACACACACACACACACACACACCACACACACACACACACACACCACACACACACACACACACACACACACACACCACACACACACACACACACACACACACACACACACACACACTACACACACACACACACACACACACACACACACACACACACACACACACACACACACACACACACACACACACACACACACACACACACACACACACACAACACACACACACAACACACACACACACCTCCAGCTGCACCAAACTGCTTAAAGTGATAATGAGTTGTTTTTAATAATTAATTTGCATATAAAAGCCGAGCCGCTGCGTGGCTGGCAGAAACAGATCCGAGATCACAGTCTGGCTGCTGGCAACGCTTCACAGAGCGGCAGAGAAAACACAGAGAGGCAGGAGGGAGAAGGAGAAGTGAGAAACACAAGACGGGAAACAAAACGAGGGAAGAAACAGAGGGATGACATAAAGATTGCCTGAGAACGACTGCTGTGAACAAGACATTTTGTATAATGTAACACATTTGTTGTTCAGAGTGTATCTATATTCCTGCAACTTGTGGTTAAAATGCTGTTTTGTCTGTGTAGCATCCTTTTAATGTGTAGGCTTGCTGTTGAGTGGAGTGAGTGGGTTAGAAATACCTGCATTATTCATATCACTTTACAATATTTAGCCGGAGTTCAATTCAAAGGAGAATCATTGATTGTGCTGAGTGATTATCATTCAGTATGTGAACCCTTGGGAATTTCCTGGTTTTATGCATGAATCGGTCATTAAAAGTGATCTTGGGCCTCATTTATAACGCCTTGCGTAGGATTCACGTGGGAAGGTTACAGGTTACGTGTTGCTTACAAAGCAAAAAAATAGGTACAGAAATGTTCCGACATTTTCCGATTCACAAAACATTGCGTACCGGCACTTCCTACGCCTGTTTCCCGTTATAAATCACAATCGACTCGAAATGCGGCGCAGCTTTTGCAGGCTTCACTTAACGCCCATATTTGCCTATAAATAGTCAAAGAAACGCCCATTCATTTTGACTGACTGCATGAAGAAGATCGCAGGAAATTACGACAGCACAGCTAAAAAAGACATCTCACACCGTGTCAGATTTGGGTTATTTTGGGGGAGGTCGAGATAAATCATATTGTTTGGTGGATGCAGTTTGAACCAGATAGTAGCAGCATGGAAGGTCGGATCGTCAACCAACATAAATAATAAGTGTCCGAAAAAGGTTACTGACAAACAAATACCCATACACCTTCCTCAGGCAGTGTGTTTTGTCCCGGGGACAGGAGACACCCCCCTTTGATGAGAAAAACTGTAAAGAAATGGATCGGGGAATCCCCTCCGGAGTGGAGTCATGACGACTGGATCTGAATATTTTTGTTGTATTTGGGTGGTTTGTGTTCCAGCTGTCGATCAGCAACTATATATCCATAATCCACCAGTTTAAAAGGAAATAACAACTAAGTGTTGTGTTATATTAGCTGTACAATTTACCACATATGGTGTTCTTAGTTTCCATACCTCCTGTGTTTTATGAGCGACTTATCAAGTCTTGGCAAACGGTCATAACAACACGATTTAAACGTGATAGTATATAAAACCATGCTCGTATAACGGCATTATAGAATGCAAAACGGCGTCAGTTTAGGACGTCATTCTGTCCTCCTGCTTACCACATCATTTATGGAAAACATTTCATAACATTAACACAACATATTCGGGTGGTTTTAAATAACATAATCCGTATTTATTATTTCTCCCAAGTTATGTTTTTGTGTGCACTGAGGAGTCTCAAACAGGCGTTTGTTTAAATCATTTTAAGATTGGCTTTAATCAATGTTTGAAAATGAATTCATATGATGAAATGAGAGGTAACATTTTATTTTATGGTATTATTTCCACATATTTCTCTCCATTCTTCCTTCTGCCAACGGTGTCGCAGTTTCTCGTCTCTCCCGTTTGTGTGCTTAGTGCGTACGCATGGGTTAGAGTTTGCGTGGAGGACCGCACATTTTCCCGTCAAGTTAGTATTTATATAGTACCGTCACGTTCAGGATACATTTTGGACCATTCTTCCTCACAGAACTGCTTCAGATCAGCCATATTCTCAGGATGTCTGGTGTGAAGGGCTCTCGTGAGGTCATTCCACTGCATTTCTATTGGGATAAGGTCTAGGCTCTGACTGAACCACTTTAAAAAGGCGGATTAGTTTGTACTAAGCCAATCTGTATTACATTACTTGGATATCTAGGGTCATTGTCCTTCTGCCCACCAACCAACCTCGGCTGAGTTTCAGCTGACGGCAGCTTCTCTGAAATATCTCGTAGGATATATCATGATAATCTTGAGAATTATTTTTCTTTTGATGATGGCAAACTGTCCAGGGCCCCGAGTAAGGCAAAGCAAGTCCCAATTATGATACTCCTCCACTGACATCGCTCTGGATGATGTTTTCAGCCATACGTAGTGCTGCCTGTTCTCTCCCCTATAATTCCACCTTAGGTTTAATCA